ATTGTGGCAATGGTCTGTTAGAAATGTTTGAAGAGTGCGATGATTTTAATAACTTATCGAATGATGGGTAACAAATCTTTAAAATCTAATATCAGTTTAGTTGCGACAGCTTTTGCAAAATTGAACTTGGCTTTACGGCAATAATAGATCAAAACAATCAATAAATATTTTAGAAATAATGCAAATTAAGGGAAGGTGATTGTTTGGACTCAAATATAATTGACGATGATGGGTAAGTTAAAAGCTTATAAATGATATCATTAATTTGTTTGAGATTTCAGCAATTTTAACTCTTTTATATAGTTGTGACAGCAGTTGCTTGACTGAGCAAAACAATTACTGCATTTATGAAAAAATAAAAGATGATTTCAAATGCTATTACAGAGCGGTAAAGATTTATTCATTCTAATAGATATTATCATAGTCAAATTTTTAAGAAACATTTGACAATAATTAATACAAGTGCATAAAAGACGGCTACTAGACAACTAATGAAGAATGTGATGATGGAAATAATTTGCATTCCTAGGGGTAAATACACTTATTTGAATAATTCTGCTTATAGTTGCGATGAATAATGCAAAATCAGGCCTGGTTTTACTTGCCAAACAATGTATGGGTCAGCCTCCAAATGCTTTTAAAATTGTGCACTATTTGGGTTTGAATGTCTTGATAAGAACAAATAAAATAATGATGGGTAAACCTTTTTTATAATTGTATATTCCTTTAGATGTGACTCATTTTGCAGAGTAGAAGATGATTACAGTTGCGAATTCATAATGAATAATAATGAATATAAGTTTTAGTGCAGAAACTTAAAAAATTAATAATAATACCAATTCAAGGATTCTTTCTCGGAAATCATTCGTAAAATATAATTAATCAAAAATTTCAGGACAGCAAAATATTTAGGAAAATAGAAAATAACTCAAAAATTAAGAGCAAATCAATAAATGGTAAAATGTTAAATAACATCTGGAAGAAATAATATTGCTTTTGAATTCTGAATGTAAAAATGGAAAACTTGAGATTGGAGAACAGTGTGATGATGGAAAAATTGATGATTTTTCACGGTATTGTTGGAATTGCCCTTAATGGAGTGGCTATTCATACTGGAAATTCTGAATA